GGTCGATGAAAAAGGAATGTGGACCAGGGCAATACTTTGAGTTTACACTTACAGCTTGTCCAAGGTCATTAATTATTAATACTATTAGTAATATCTTCGTTAAAGACTTTGATGGCCACAGCTCAAACATGAGAGGTTGAGCTTTATTAGCAGCATTTTGAATGGCTGCATCTGTAGGTCAACCATTCTATTCAAGAATTGTTTAGGTGCATTACATCAACCTCATCTAAAAATGAGGTTTTTACCAGTAGGCTTGCTACAAAAAAATACTAAAATTAAGTGTTTTAAGGGATTAGAAGGGGAGGGGGGATAATCCAAAGAAATTCTATGCAGAGTATCAGGAATAAAATACCAGAAATAGAAAAGACTGTGTTAATAGATGACTATGGTGCAATTGAAATCACTGAAACATGGTTAACAGACTGTGATGGTCATTAATACAACAATATACATGCAATAGGAGAGACAGGAAACATTTAAAAGAGTGGTTATCATGGGAGCACTGAATTGTACTCAGATTTAGAAGAAAAAGCACCTGCTGTATTTTATTAGTTGAAAATGAAATGGTAGAAATTGCTAAAACTTTCTCAGTGCTGAACTAGTTTTGAACTAGTTTTGAACACTGAACTAGTTTTTTTCACATTAAGTTAGAGAGAAGAAAACAGATGTGAAAGTATGATTAGACTACTGTGAAAAGTAAAAGCTAAAACAACACATAACAAGAAAATTCCAATACAAATAAAATGGGTTGTTTTATTGTGACTTTAAAATCTTTCTTATTTTTCATGACATACACCTTCGTATACAGTATCTTCATTTTGACCTTGGTCACAGTAACAAAAAAAAACAGTTGTGATATTTGTGTCACAAAGTAGTAATCTTTTGCCTTGCTTTATCAAATGATCACATGGTTGAGAGTGAATGAACTTTAAAGCAGTTTTTGCTAGTAGTGAAAATAACTAATAAAAATAATACTGTAGTTTGATTTGTCAAAGCCTACCACAAACAAACCACAAACTGTATATTTCAAATAAAAAATAGGTTTTGAAAAGTACAATATTCTTTCTCTTTTGTTTGCATTTTCACTAAAGATGTAGTACAAAGTAAACCTCCAGAACAGAGATTTAAAAATGAAATGTTGTTCAAAGATTTGAAATGTTTTTTTACCAATCTGCAGTTCTGAATATATGTATAATAATCATATGCACCAAAATGTCTCCATAATGCTACTCTGCCTAACTCAAAAATCATTTCTCTCAGTACTGAACATGTAAAAATGTCTTGTGATAGTACAAGGAAACATGTTTGTATGTATCGTATTTAAATACAACTCATCCACAGTGCAGTGTCTGTCTACGCTGAAATGTTTTTGGGGTCAACCAGTGGAGCAACATGGGTCACACTGAATTAATAATGACAAAACATTTAATTCAGAAGATACATATTTATTAATTTTCATGGAAATATTATAGCAATTAAATGTAAGAGGTTGTAACTACACATGCAACATTGCAAGACAAATAATTCTGTATATTCATGTTCTAATTATTCATTTACTACAAAAACTAAGAATTCAGTAAGTATGTCTAAATAGTGCTTTTCATAAAACATTTTTAAAGATCCCTAATGATTGAAAGATTTACATTTAGAAAGTAGCACAAAAACATGAGCTGTCTTCTATTTAATTAGGCTCCATATTTTATGTTTTTCCATTTAGATTGGTTCCCAGATGTTGTCCTCCAGACGAATAATTAATTGACTTATCGAGGGATGGCACATATTTTAAAGGGTCGTGGAGACAGAGTGAATCCCATTTGAGCCTCCAAACTGACATCTACCCCCTGAGGAGCACAGAAGGTGAACTGTTGCAGAAATGAAGTGAAGAACATAAACAGCTCCATCCGAGCTAGCTGCTCCCCCAGACACACCCTCTTTCCTGTTAAGAACCATTAGATAATATTTTAGACAATTTGACTAGTCTTTATTGTGAAGGATGTATGGACCTATGAGAGTAAACCTGAAAAGAATATAAGTCTATGTGGGATTTCACATGACATTATGAAACAGAGGGTTGAGTATTATTTAATTTAATCTTACATTTAAAATAGTTACTGAACTATAAAAAAATATTCACTGCCTAAAAGTCAAGTGGAATGGGATAAGCAAGAAGCAAGAAGACTGCATATGATAAAAAAACAACAGGGAAGGAAGCACATTACCTGCTGAAAATGGAAGAAAAGCATCTCTTTTCCGAAATTTTCCATAGGAGTCCAGGAAGTGCTTGGGATTAAATGTGTCGGGTGTTTCCCACTCATTTTTGTCAAAAAGCACTGAGGATATATTGGTTATCACTGCTGTACCCTATGGAAATATAGAGTATAGTAGCAGTGATAAGAAAGAAAATAGAAAAAGCACTTACTAAAAAGTTTAATCAAAATGATGTCAGCTTCATACAGAACTGATAGGAGAAACACCTCAAACGGGACATTAGATGCAAGCCTCTATTGTTTTATTTTTTCTCTCACCTTAGAAATAAAATAACCTCCCAGTGTAGTGTCTTTAGTGGTCATCCTGGGCACATTCAGGGGAACAATATTGCCCATCCTCTGGACCTCATGGATCACAGCATCAGTGTAGGGAAGATGCACTCTGTCTGCCATTGAAGGTTGCCGTTCCTTTCCGATCACTCTGTCTATCTCAGCCTGGACCTTCTCTTTGAATGCAATACAAATGAAGAATGTAAATATACGGTATAAAACAAGAAACAGGAACCCAGTCTGTCTTCCCAAGTCTTTGACAAAAATAGGTTTCTTTTTTTCAAGATATTGCATTATTTTAATATACTAATGTTTGGTAATATTAGTAATGTGACTTTACCAAAAAGTAACAGCTTTACCAAAAAAGTCTTCACCAAAAAAGGCAGACCATGCAGACTGGAATAGTTTTCTAGAGTTTTTTTATGATTATGAAGTCTGCAGAATTGACCAAAAAACCCAATAACCTCATAGTTTACTACATACATGGTCCGTTTCTTAATATTGATTTGTGTGCCTGCAAAAGTGTTTTGCAATATTTATGTAGGTGGATGGACAGTTTTCCATAATATAGTATTGGGGACTCAAAGGAACTCGTACTTTGAATTTCTGGGTATTTGACCATGTAGAGGAGGCTCCAGCGCAGAGTTGTCGCAGAGGTCTCTGTCCCCGCTTCTAACAGGTCCAGAGTACATATGACCAGATTTGTCTCATGGAATCCTGCTGGAATGTCATCCTTTTTCTGCAAGATACAATAATTACCTTAGGACAACATCTCTTTATTTTCAAACTGATTTTTGCAGGGAGCTAAGCTGCCTACTGCTAGCAAAAATATATTACATTAAATAACTTCATTCAAAAACCTTTTCACCTCTTGATTAAATATTTCAACAAAGAGCAACTAATTACATTTTCCTCATGTTTAATAAAAGTTCTGTAAATATCTCATTTCAGTCAATACTGGGATCCTGCTAAAAGTGGGGATACCTAAAGTGCAAATAACTATCATCAATGATTTTTACAAACCAATGAAATAAGATCTTAGGGTTCGTTCATACTGTATGTCATATTAAAAAAACAATCATCTCAAAATCTAAAAAGCATTCACTAACCTTGACAGAAAACTAGATGTTTTATAATGAAGATGATGATGAAGATGATGAGTTCATGATGCTTTGACTTTTTTGTTGCTGTGGATTGGTGTACCTTAAGTTTGTGTTGAACGAACCGTTCCTTTAGGTTTAATTTAGCAACTTCAGGTGCCAGATTAAACATTGATATGAGTTCTATTTATACAATTTTTAAGAATGTGCTTTGGCTGGTGATCATGAATGGGAAGGGAGGCGCTATATTATATTTATGTAGGTGTGATGGAGGTGGAAAAGGTTGAGAAACGGTATCCTACAGCACAAGGACAATGGCATTTGGGATGTCATGTACTGTACATACAGTAGGTTACCAAAACTGAGTCCTACTTGTAAAATGGAAGTGTCATGCTCGAGTGACTGCTGATCAGTCCCGCATGCACATGCAGCACAGCACACCATCCAGCTCTGTTAGACGATATTCAGACAGACTTTCATTTCACATCTTCTAGTTAGTTTATTATTTGTTTAATGATTTCATGATCAGTTCCATTTCCTCAGGGCAACTGTGTGCTCACTACCTTGTCGCTGTGCTTCTCCTGTTCCTAGCTGCTACCGCTTTTCAGACCCAAGTGTTAGGTTTGTTTTGCGTGCCTTTAATTTTTGTTACTTTGTTGTTTTGTGGTGCTCTCCGCCTCACCGCTGCATGAGACCTGCTTGTGAGCTCTCAGTCAGACACGGCTGTTTTTCATCTTGCTGCATATAAGGAACATCTACTGTAATGCTAGTGGCAGTACTGTGCACCATACAGTCAAGCCAATTTACACCAGTGGCCATGGCTACATTGGTGTCAGGCACTCTGTCTGAGGTCTGATGGCGCCTGTTCTAATACTTTAGGGCTCTTTACATGTATAAATTATCCTTTCATACCTTTTCCATCTCTTCAAAGTAGGTATCAATGAAATCACGAGAATTGGAGGGGTCCCAGTTCTTCCTGTGATTTTCGATCTCTTCCTTCAGGAAGGCTTTGACTTTCTTATAGTTTGAAAAAACAGTCTGGTGAGGTCCAGGTAAAAACTTCATTATACTGGGGCAGACATTGTAGAGCTGATGCAAAAAAGATGAATAGATATATTGTAGCTATAATAATATATAGATATCTTATATATATTTTGAGCCTTATGAAAGTTTTCTATTGTGTTTTTGCACTTTGACCTTGCCTTTCTTAAGCATTTTAAACTTTTACCAAGCTGACAAAAGTGATGTTTGTGTCTCCATTGTTTAGTGTATTTAGTGTAGTGTATTCCTGCATGAGAGTATGATACTGAAATGTAGTGATTTTATGATATACAGTATATACATTATCCTTTCATTTGCAAACTGATATCAGTTTATATGTGGTCAGAAAACAGGTGTTTGTCCTTAGTTTTACAATCTTTCAGCACTGAGCTCTTGAATGAGCAGCAGCAAAAATTGTTTAGCACCCATAAAAATGAGTTTTTGTTCATTTTGTGTAAAGCTGCTACTACTTTCTTTTTTCGTAGTAGTAATTGAAATTTTGACACATCATTTGAGAGGTAGTATGACAAAAGGCATGGTTTTGCATTTCAAAGTCCTAATTTTAAAGTGGTAAGCATGTGGGTCTAGTGCTATTTATTTGATTTCCTTTGATATTCTTGTCATACCTGGGCTCTTAATGAGCCTATCAGGAGGAAAGTCTCATCAGTCCTTCGCAGAATATCTTGAAACCTTGGGTCATTGTACTCAAAACGGTGCCCAAACACCATAGAGCATATGACATTGGAAATGGCGCTGTTCAATAAGAAGTGGGGGTCAAAAGGTCTTCCTAAACAACACGAGAAACGAACCATTCAGAACTATAGAAAGCATCTCATAACAGTCATTACCAGAATAAAATCAAAATACATAAAGTTGAGAAAGACACTACTAATAATACTGATTTAAAATCACCCTCGTTACTGAAGACTCAGTACACATTTTTAAAAACAATCCCAATTTCTGCAAAATTATGTTTCTTAAGTAAGATATAAAATGGATTGCTAGAAAAACCTGTTTTTTATATATGTATAATCCTTTCATTTATATATCATATTCAAATATAATATTTGTATATCCTTTTCATATTTTTGTTTTTAGAAGTACTGGTAGGGAGAACAGAAATAGAAACATACATTTTCAGAAATAGATATTGACTCAATTACTTTTGTGTACTTTATCCTAACAAAATATAATATGCTTTATTGCTTATTTATATCACCGATTCTGTAGATTCACAGTGATTAGTGTTTGACACATACTTAAGACATATATCTTTATTAAAAACACTTAAACACAATCCCTCATTGAGAAAGGCATATAATATAACATGACGTGTACACACTTATATTGTACAGTATGTATTCTCCATGTCAAAAGATGCTTCATTGTTATATTTACCATGCTCTTCCTTGAAGGCCTTGTAAAGGAATCTGTTCTCCTCAAGGATGAACGACTCCAGAGTATTCTTGCCCATGCCAAAGTTCTTTAAGGTTGTAAGGGCAAACCTTCTATGTTTTTTCCATTGGTACCCGTTGGTTAACGCCAGGCCTAAGCATCAAAAAACAGTTTATTTAAGAACAAACTGTTCACTGAAAAGAGTATGCACTTAATTAACTGTGTTGTTTGTGTACAGAGGCATAATCCAAAACCCTTTTTTCCTGGACCTGAGGACTGTACTGTACTGTAGTGTAGTGTAGATTTTTAGGGTGGAACACCCTTCGCACAGTTCTTTGGAAACAATAATGTCACAGAAGTGGATGTAAAGGACAATGCTATTAAAATAAAGAGCAATTCAGACTTAATACAGTAGATAAATACATTCATACATTTTATTCATACTTTATATAAGTTATAAGTAAGTTTACATTTGAAATAATACAAATGACTTTGCTATTTACGAAGTTGGCATGACAATAGTAATGTTAATTACAGGAGTATTCAATTATTCTTTACAAACCACTGTGTAAGTAAGTACTGGCAACTATCACATACTGTACAAGGGAAAATAACTTTCACCATCTGATGTTCCTGCAGTAGCTCCAAATACACTCAATCTCTGTGACTCTTTTGGAACTTACACCCTTGAGTGCTGATTTGAGGTTTTTTTCCCCAGAAGCACCAAAAAAAGAAAAAGCACTATTATAAGGATTATAGTTTTTTTTTCTTTCGGATCCAGCTCTTTTTGTTTGTTATTTTAAAAAGGTTGTATTATTGGTGACTTTCTAAAAAAGTAAATTACCAATGATTACATTTTTAACATATTGCAAATTTCATTTAACGTTTTTTAAAGATTACCTAGTTAAAAACACCCCCATTTTCTTTACAGCACAATATTGGGAATTATTTCTTCAAAACCAATGTTGAGATGACATTGATTCAATGAGCAAAATAAATCAATGCCTATCTGTGGCTGTCAAAGTTATTTCAGTGCTTATTCAATGATAGTTTGTTATCTGGATCTATTTTCATAAAATATACCGAATTAATCATTAGTTCTAAGGGAGGTCACAAAAATCTTAGCAATGACAGAAAGACTCTGAGAGAGGTTCAGACCTCAGTTCAGTATTATTATGAAGTAAAAGTAAAATGATTTTATGAAAAGTACAGCACGTCTGTAGAATTGTGCGGCCACAAAAACTTCAGAACATAAAATTTAAACTAATGAAACTACCATATATTTTTTACTTACAAGCCCAGAAAATGTGTTTTTTATATCCTGCTTTGATCTCTAATCATGATATTCTTCTTGACCTTACAGTTTTCCATAATAAGCAACATTATGAATTTACAATGAACTACAGTTACCAAAACAGAAAGACAGGCTGAATAACCTCTCTTGTTTATCTTACTTATTGTTTTGGAACAACTCCTATTCTCATATTATTTTAATTCTTTGTGACCCCTCAACTACAGTATGTTTTATTTACTTAATTTGAGTTGCTTTATCTTATTTAAATCCTTTTATGCTGTAAATTATTTGAACAAAGCAATAATTTTACTTGTATTATAGAACCCGAGTAATGTGGATAGGTAGACAAAAAGTCTTGCTATATTTCATAGTTTGAAATGAAAATATCCTTACCGAGGCCTTGGTAGACTTTGTCAAACAAAGGAACTACAGGGCGGTCTGCAAAATTTTCTCCTTGGTTTACTAGAGCTTCCTTGACCATTTTGTAACCGGACACAAAAACTGTATTTTCTCTTCCCCTCCACAAACTGAAGACAGGGCCATATTTTTCAGCAAGCTAGAGAATATATTTAAAAACCCTTTATTCAATTTATGGAATCTAACGTACAATGAAACAGGTTTTCATATACAGTATATAGTATATAATGAAACATTCATATAACACAGTGAAGTACATATAAAGTAAACAGAGTAGACTGAAATAATTATTTGAAGAGGAATTTAAACTACAGAGTTATGAAACACATGACAAAATTTAGGACTTTTTTTAGAATGTTTCACAATTGAGGCACAAAGTGTTTAAAATAAGCAAATCTTGAAAATTTAAACCTTTCAGTTTACTTGATTACTGATCTTACCTTATCAATTTCACTGATGTCCACAGCAGTGAAAACATTTCCCAGCAAGGGAAAAGGCTTGGGACCTGGAGGAAAATTCTTTAAATTATTATTTGTCATGATGTCAATAATCAACAGAAACACAAAGAGGAAGAGAATGCAGCTTTTTATATCCAGATATTCCAGCAAGGAATACAGCAGCATTGTCACTGTGATACTTCAAACTCTCTTCAAAGCAAGCAGAAATGGAAAGAAGGCCAGAGTGCTGCACTGACTGGGTTTTGCACCACCTACTGTAGCAACATGAATTTAAAGAAGTGTCAGTGAAAGAAAGTAAGAGACCTGTTTTTGCATGTTCATTAGCATGAAAAACCATAAGGCACAAACAAAAGTTATGGAATAATGCAACAAAGTTATGTTACATAAGATTTCTATGGAACTGAATATTAGCTTTTAAGAGCAAAGTACTATATAAGATCTGTGTCTTGAGTACTATTTATTTATATTGATTATTTTGTACCTCTAAACAAATTCCTTTTAGCCTTGTTGTTGAAATGACTTATAAAAACATGAGAACATACTGTATAACCTAAGAATAAAACTAACATCATAACCTAATTAAGATCTTTAAAAAATAAATAGCAGTTATTTATTGGTTTAGAACTGCAATGGTACTTCATTAACTAATCTGTCATCACCCAGATTAGAATCAATAAACAAAACTGTTACTTGGTATGCATACAGTATATGAAAGAAATAGTTTTTCTGTAAATTAGTAAACTGTCAAACATACAAAAAATTGGGTTAGGGAATTCATCAGAGGGCAGCGATGATTCATAGACGTAATTAAACTTACAATGATCAAAATCACACTACAACAAGTTAATACCAAAAGTCAAAGTAAGATTTATTTGACATAATATGGTTTGTCTCAAGTCACTATGTAATAAATCACACAGAGTAGCAGTATTTTAAATGTTATTTTCAAATACACAGGGAGCCAGTGCAATACAGCTAAAACAGGTGATATAAACTGTATTTTAGTTTGGATTAAATTCCAAGCAGGTGAGTTCTAGACACCTGCTAGACACTAGTTATTTGGAACATGTATGGATACACCATCACACACCGCATCACAATAATCAAGCCACAATACATACATGAAGTGTTACAAAGATGAAAAAACAACACCTTCACTGTCACGCCCTCTGCAGCCAGAGGGCGCTCCTACTCTGTCCTGTCCCTTGTTTCCTGTGCTTTCCTTTGCTCTCCTTCTGGTGTCTCTCTCTCTGGGGCTATATATTTCCGGGTCATTCATTCACCTTCGCTCAGCATTGATGTTCGGATGTCCAAAGACCCGCCTAGCACCAGGTCGGCGCTCCATCCGTGGCCTGAGGGCATAGGTTTCTATATGGCACTCCAGAACTCTTCGCACTGCTGAGCCCGGGCTAACTCCCCGTTCTGCCACTTCGCACAGGGTCTTTTTCCACTCTCCTGCCATTCCACGGCTTGTCCCTTCCAACATCCGTGACATTCACAACACTGTAAATGTGTACTCCAAATACAGGTTATTTTGACCCAATCCCTAACCTGATACCAGGACCATCAATAGCCAAAATGGCTGATTACAAACACAGCAGGTGTGTGTAACTATAAATCTCGATGTCATCATTGTAGAAATGAAAGGTTATACAATACTACTGGACCTGTACTAAGAACCGGACTTAGTTCAGCATATAGGTAAAACCTATAAATTGAATAAATTGTTTTCTATTAGACAGATAACATTGAAGTCTTTAAAAGAAGTTGTGGAAATACCAACAACCTCTCTAATCTATAAAGAAAGATGTTAGTAACCCTGGCAATAGCAGTTTAATTACTATGTATTGATCAGAACCCAAAATGAAAAAGATAAGGATACATTATAGGAAAGATAGCTAGGTTATCAAAGAGTATGGTAATTAAGGTAGATTTAAAATGCAAACACTTATTTTTACACACACAGAAATGATTGGTGTCAATTAAGGATCTTTCAGCATCATGAGTTTTACCTTTCAACTATGTTTTCAGCAATGTATGCATTTATTAAAAAATGATTAATGATTACTGATTAGAACAAAAACATGTGATGCTTACTACATTGACCTGTTTTTAACAAGTAGGCCAAGTAGGTAGCTGGGTCAGCATGCTCAGGCTGCAAAGGAACAAGTAAACGTTTATTCCATGCTGAAAAGGTCTATAGAGCCTTCTTCATCTTGAGAATTGATTGCCATGACATCAACTTCATCAGAACTATAAATTGGAATGTTGTAAAATAAACACATTCTTTTTAAAAATCATTAATAATAATAATAATAATAATAATAATAAATAATACTAACATTTTATTAATAACACTTACACTATATAGCACTTTTTTGGACACTCCATTCAAAGCACTTTACAGGTAATGGAGCCTCCACCACCACCTGGATGATGCAGTCGCAGTGCGCCAGTGCGCTCATCAAACATCAGCTATCAGAGGGGAAAAGAACAGTGATGAAGCCAATTCATACTGTAGATGTGGATTATTACGAGGTCGTGATTGATAAAGGCCAAAGGGAAATTTGGCCAGGGCGCCGGGATAACACCCCTACATCATGTATTTCACTTATTACGCTACATATTTCAGTTTTTGTTTTCAGTGACCTCCTAATGTTGTATCTTTATTGGCCATTCTCGGTGCATTCAGGGGAACAGTGTTGCCATATCGCTGGGTTTCATGGATCACAGCATCAGTGTAGGGAAGATGCACTCTGTCTGCCATGGAGGGCTGCCGTTCCTTTCCAATCACTCTGTCTGTCTCGGCCTGGACCTTCTCTGAGGTGCATGAGGCAAAGTATGGAAAAAGAGTTTTATCATATAAACTCTAAAAAATACTAAAACCTGTCCTGAGGTACTTTCCAAAAAAAAGATGCAGTATATTCAACAGAATAATGTAATTAATCTATTACAAAAATAAACAAATTCCAGCTAAAGCATTTATTTAATATTATATTATTCTTTGTTTGTGCTGATTAATGCATGCCTTTTGGTTCATATTCACTTTCACATGCTTGAGGGCTGATGTGCTGTAGGTACAACTGGCTTGATGTACAGTATTTAGGAGCTCACTGTGCTTACTCACTCTGTATGTCTGGGTATTTGATCATGTAGAGGAGAGCCAAGCGTAGAGAGGTGGTGGTGGTCTCAGTCCCAGCTATAAAGAGGTCCTCATGGAATCCTGCTGCTGCATTCTTTGTAGTCTGACAGGTAAAATTATACATCCCTATCAATTTAAATTTGTGGCAATTAGTGGACTGTACAGGATATACGAGTCTACCCTGATACAGAATTAGAATTTATTAAATGATTCAGTTTCATACACAGTATTAATGATCGGCTCTTTGATCATTATTATGGGTCTTCTGCCCTGTACTGTCACGCCTGACATCCCTCCCTAGAGGGTGCTCCACTACTCCTGTTATTGTTCCTGTGATTAAGCTCCCCAGGTGTACCTTCTTAGGTGTCTTATTTAAAGACTAGCTCCTCCAGTCCTCAGGGCTCATCATTAGGGTAAGGATGTCACGAGGCCTGCCTAGTACCAGGAAACCCTACATCCGTCTCCTAAGGGCATTGGCCTCATCTCCGACACCTCCCGCTTCTTAAGCCCGGGGTCTGGAGGATCTCGCCCCGTCACATTTTAAACTGTTATCACTGTAATGAAACTGGTGTCCAAAAACCAAAAAGCAGATGATATTGGAACTGGCACAGTTCAGAAGGAGATGAGGATTAAATGGTTTGCCTTTAAAACATAAACAGGTTTAAAAACATAAAATGGGGTTATTATTGGTCTGTCCATTGTTCTAATTCAAGTGAACAGTACAGAATGTAATTAATTAAAATAGTTTAAATTCAAGTCATTACCTTGTTCTTCCTCTATAGCCTCTTGAAGAAATCTAGTCTCATTGGAAATGACTGACTCCAAAGACCTCCTACCCAGTCCAAAGTTTCTCAGAGTGGAAAGAATAATTCTTCTCTGCTTTTTCCACTGGTATCCATTGTTTGAGAACAAGCCTGTAGGATAGTAACAAATGACTGTTTGAATTTAAATGAAACACAACAAAGTAGTTACTTCATATAACAATGAAAATAAAAGGTATTGTAGAATACACAAATACACAAAAGGTATTGTAACAAAAACAATAACACTTGTTTAGTTAGGAGAAGTTCTCTTTAAACTCAAGCCTTACAAATAAAAATATTTTAAGACAGAACTGTCAAGGTAAATCAGTCAGACCTCCCAGCTTCAGCCTGCCCTGCTCTGTGGTTGTAGAGAGGCAAGAACTGGGAATCAGGAAACTGCATGGTAAAAGATTTGAAGCCCATTGTTGGCAGCTTGTTTGATACTATATACAGTAAATACAGTATATCTAGTTTAAATTTCAGATTCCTACAATAAAATTGCAAATACAATCTATTTACATTTAGAAACCCTGTTAGTCAAGATATTGACTTTTTAACTTTTGTTACTCACATCTAATATTGAACAACATTAGTACATTGAGCTGTTCAGTGTGACTACATTTTATTAATTAAAACCTAAGTATTTTTATTCACAATGCATTTATCTATTTAGCAGATTACTGTAAAGACAAAATTACTGCAAGAGGAGAAATCAATGTTTTATGTGTTGTATAAATACCAATTAAATGATCCCCAAGGCTAAAAAGGCAGAGCTCTGGTGTAAAATGTCACATTAGATATCTGTAACAAAAGTTGTTATGTACTGTATATTGTAAAATATATCTTACATTTCATATACTGTATAATGTACAGGGTAACAGGTTAGAAGAGAAACCAGAACACAAACGATATTGATAGGTACAGTATATCAAAAATTGAAAATACAACAAAAGCCTCTTACCAAATCCACCATACACTCTGTCACCAAGTGTACCACTACATACAGTACAGTGAGTATAACTGGGTCGTAGTGAGAGCAGGGGTGGTGGGATCAGTCTGCACAGCAAATACGATAGAACATTCGAAATATGGTTTAACAGTGAAATTGTTTATAAAGTTAAAGCTTTGTGCAAATTTAGAGAATGGT